ACTCGATCCCGGGACTCCAGGATCATGACCTGAGCCGAAGGCAGTCGCTTAACCAACTGAGCCACCCAGGTGCCCCCTTTCTTTTTTTTTTTTAAGATTTTATTTATTTATTTGACACAGAGAGAGCACAAGCTGGGGGAGTGATAGGGAGAGGGAGAGGGAGAAGCAGACTCCCTGCTCAGCAGGGAGCCCTATGTGGGGCTCAATCCCAGGATGCCAGGATGATGACCTGAGCTGAAGGCAGATGCTTAACTGACTGAGCCACCCAGGCACCCCAGCACATAGTAGTTTCTCAAAGGTTAGTTGCAACTTGAAATCTGATGCCATATTAATGAACTTTTTGTGCTCTGTTACATTAAAATCCACTGGTCTTTGACTCTTGCCCTTTGAATGGATCATTTATCTATGCATGATCTTGTAACATCATGTGCTGATCATTTAGAAAATACTGCTTCACTGAATTATGCAGATCTTCCGAATGTTTACACATTTTATTATACATTGTTAAAAATAAATTTTCATTAATATCCCCCCCGGTCTCATCAGAAAAGTCTTTGAGTATTGCAAAGCTGTCAAGCTCATGGTAGTAGATGTAAGTTTTCCAAAATTCACTGGGAGGCTCAAATTTTATTTTTGGTAACAAAAACTTTTTTCATGAGTGACAGTCTCGGTTCATATTTCAAGAAAACCAAGTCTGAACAACCCTAGTTTGTCAGTTATCCTTTGGTATTTCATAAGAAAAGCAGCTAATTCAGCTCAAACTCAAAACAGTACTTTTCCTTGAGACAACCGTCATAACTTCAGTATGCAGAAGTTCTTCATACATGCTTTCCACTGTTGCACAGAATATTGAAAAGACTCAAGGGTCAAGCAAGGCCTAATAAAATGGATAATTTTTACTGCTTTATCAAGGACAGTCATAAGTGAAACATTTTTTTGCTTTGTTTTGTTTACTGTAAGCAAATGACAGTGAAAAGTACATTTGACTACAGGGACCATTTGGTGCCACTGCCTAGATTCACACAGTGCCAGGAGCTTTACTCACCATTGCTTTGCACCATTAGCAAAATGTCAGCAGTGATTTTCAGTCCCTGTTTTAGAATTTTTTTTTTAAGTTTTTTTTAAATGAAAGAGAGAGAGAGCGTGCACGCATGAGCAGGAGGAGGGGCAGAGGGAGAAGGAGAGAGAGAATCCTCAAGCAGAGTCCCTGCTGAGCATGGAGCCTGAAGTGGCCCAATCCCAGGACCCTGAGATCATGACCCGAGCTGAAATCAAAGTCGGATGCTTAACTGACTGAGCCACTCAGGTGCCCCCTTGTTTTAGGATTATTTAAAAAATAGTTTTAACCCTGAAAAGGTCTCAGGAACTCCAGGGGTCCGTAGACCACACTTCGAGAACTGTCGACCTTAAGCCTGTATTCGCCTATGTCACTGGGTTGTATGAGGGATTAAGTGAAAGAGTAAAGTGCAAGAAACAATTCCTATACATAGAATAGACTAAATAAATGATAACTATTATTATTACTATTATTTTAAATGGCAAGGTATATAATGGGAAGGGAGAAAGTTTAGAGGAAGAGGAGAGATCTTTTATTTAATACCTTTTACAGTCATTCCCTATTCTAGTTATTTTATGTGTCATCATATTTAATTCACAAAGCAACCCAGAGAGGAAGTAAATAACCCATTTTACAGTTAAGGAAGTGGGTTTAGAGAGATTAAACCTTTCACTCAAGTTCACAGAGCTAAAAAAAAAAAAAGTCAGAATTCTCAGTCACTTGACCCTGTTCACTGGGCACAGGTTAACTAAGAGGGGACCAGAAGGGAAATCTATACTCCATTAAGTTGAGAAGTAGCAGAACTGCCTTGAATCAAGAACTAAGCCCTCTGACTTCATGAACTCATCTGAGAAGTATATTTTTAGTCTCAGACTTGCAACTTGTTCCTGAGAGCTATTCTACATTAGAATATTATTTTATTTTATTTTATTTTAACATGTCCTATTTTAGCTGTTCTATTTTTTAAGTTTTATTCCTAACTGAGGAAGTAAAGGCCTGCATCGTTAGAACTGGCATCCTGAGTTCCTGGAACGAGTGTGGAAGGGCAGCCTTACTTCCATGTATTGGGAAGGAAGCACATATCCCTCTGTTAAATCTAGAGGCTCTCAGCTGACCTATAACTCATGCATCACTAACCCAAACTTTCGTTTGAGGCAATGAAGTATGAATTATTATTGTTACAAAGCACAATTTACATATCCAAATGGGTATTTTCCTTTTCAAAGCAGTCCTCTTAAGGGGTCTACATATTTCTTTTAACTCTGCTGCTGTGGCTCAAAAGTAGCGTGGAAGTCCTCTTTCGGAAGTGCATCTTCCTCTTTGAATGTAGTTTCAAGTTTTAGAAGTAGCCAGAATCATTTGATGCCAAATCTGATAACTCATGTGGCTCAAAAGAGGACATCGTTGGCTAAATCTTCAGTAGTGCGTTCCTAGACTAGATCTGGTTGGTTCAGGATACAGTATTTTTTGAGCACCTACTATATCTAGGCACTGCGCTAAGTGCTGGCCTCTAAGAGCTTATGTGAACACAGTTCTCGAGCTGCATTTCCTAAATATTTTGATGAAGTGTAGCATCTCTGAAATGAGGGTATAGTACCAAAGGACAGCACATATTTGCATGTGTATGTAGGTATACATTTGTAAGATTCTTATTACATTATAGTAATCTTGTATATAACCCGCTAGAATGCACAGGGAAATCAATTCATCTACAAAGCAAACATTTTTGAGTACCAGGTGCTGTGGTAAGCAGCAGACATTTAAAAAAATGTAAACTGAAGGAGCCTAAAATCTGGTGGGACACAGACATATTCATCCACCCACGAAAAACATAAATGATATAACAGAGACATGGACAGAGAGCAGCAGGGACCAGGAGGACGCTATCCGTTCCTTTAAAGCCAGGTTGTAGCCATGTGATTCACTGGACTGTTATTTTTCAAAATCCAATTGTAGACTTAGTGCATATCTACCAAATACACTGTTCTGCAAACTTCAAGAAATTAGGTAAAAGGGCTCCGGCTCCATAGTTGAGGAAGGGGCCGAAGTAGCCACCAGTCCTTCGGTACACTGCCTAGAGATGGAAGGTGGTCCAGAGGCAGTGCTGGGCGTCGCTGCCTTCAGCCGGCCTCAATTCTTTGGGAGGGGCAGCTGGGAGGGTCCATACAATACTCTTTATTTTTACTCAATTTGGATTTTAGAATACGCAGTGGCATTTGAACATCTAGAGTTTAGTATTTTATCGTTTAGGAGAAAACCCGATGGAAGCCAGGGAATGCCCTCAAGCTGCCAGGGTGTCTAATCTCTTCACTGAAGCAAAAGGCAGAAGCTTGGACTGTTCAAGTACAGAATTTCAAGTTCCAAAATCCTACGTGCATTTACACTGGGCCATGTGATTGTCCTGTGATGAGCTCTACCAAGCAGAGCCTGCAAGTTGAAGAAACGCTTCAGTAAGCCCCACCTGCCACTGGAGCCTTAACCACCAGACCGGCCAAGCTGGAGACTAGACCAGTTCTACAGGCTTTCACTCCTTTCCAAGGGACTGACCTGAGTGCACAAGCGCCCCCAGCTGGTAACAGGGCTAGAACTCAGCCAGGCCCAACTGGAGCTTGGAAAACATTCTGTTCTATAGGATATAAACAGCTGTTGTCCCCAAGGGATCCCGAACCCTGAGCAAAGAGGAAGACGTGAAGGCCGCTGGGCCTGCGGTGGGTTGCTCTGGTTCAAGGCCACACGTTCTCTGGCACACAGGAGACGTGCGGACAAGGAAAGATTTAGTGAGGATAAAGCAAGGCTTGGCCCGACGTGCAGGCACGAACCCCAGAGGCCAGTGGCCGTGGGTAAAGCTGTTTAGTTTTCTCAGCACTGTAGCCTGAGACGCACTGCTTTGCCCCACAGAGCATCTGGAAAGAAGATGTAGGACAGCGACCACAACAGGCAGTAAAACGCAGTCAGAGAGAACGGAGACAAGAGCAGCATGATGGCACCTGGAAGAAAAAAGGCGAACACTCCGTTTTTATGAAGCCCTCCTTCGTGTATTTTCCATCCTCTTCTCTCCCATCCCCATCCTCCCATCCTTCGGTTTGTACTCGTGGTGCCGAAGAGACAAAAATCAATGAGACATGAGCCCTGCCCTTAAGGAGGTATTGTCTGTTTGTAACTAGATGATTATAATCGAACGCAAGCTCAGGTTCCATTTTGTCGGATTCAGATCAGAAACCCAGTCTTAGCCGAGAATACATTTGAGTTGCCCAGGCCCCTTGTTATATATGATTGTGTCAAGTTTAACACGTGACAGTGGCCAACACAATGTTACCCGTATGCAGAAGAACACAGCAGACCTGAGGCAGCTCTCCCTTGAAAGGCCTGCTTCTGCTTACCGGTTATTCCTGTCTGGAATCTGGGAACATGGCTAGTAACCAGTTCCCTATACCAGGATAGAACTTTCCCTCATGGGCAAGAGTGGCTCACTGTGCTTAGATGGTGCTGAGATTGATTTCCTTCTGTGAAAATCTAGAATTTTGGTACTGCTAGGCCGAGGGTGCTGATGTGGCCAGCCCCCATGAAAACCTTGGGCACTGGGTCTCTACAGAGCTTCCAGCTAGATAAGACTTCACGAGTGTTGTCACAATTTCATGCTGGGTGGCCCCAGAGGGGCCCAGATTTTTCCCCTTTCACTTTCCCTTTGCTGCTCTTGCCTTGTGTCCTCTTGCTGTGACAAATCTTAGCCATGAGTCTAACTATAGGCACCCCGTGAGTCCCTAGAGGATCAATGAACCTGGGGGTGGTCTTGGGGGACCCCCAACACATTTGAATCTCAGATTCACCACTGAAAGGCAAAAGGGCACCAACACTTGTGGGATATCTTCTTTGCATTAGACATTCTGCTAGGTATGTTACAAAGATTGTTCCATTTACATTTCAGAATAATGCTGTGATTCAGAATCAAGTCTGTTTTTCAGATGAGGAGACAGAGGGGATGTAACCTGCACGAGGTCTTGATTCAAACCCATGTCTGCTTTTGTAAAAAAAGTAGACACTTAGCCTCAGAGAGCTCAAAAAGAGGGTGGGAGAGTACGGGGCAACAGCAGGTCCATGGGGATAACCACTATGCATTCCTCAAGAGAAATCAGAACATTTGATCTGGCAGAAGACCACTTCTAAGGGCAAGAGGCAGTTACAGAAACGGATCGGAACTTTGGGATACTCAATATCTAAGAATGGTCATTGATCTGTTAAGGCAAGGAGACAATATTTTACTTGTCCTGGAAAATATGTGACATAAGGTCTCAGTAGCCACAGGCCAGCTTCTCAGAAGCTCTGTGGAGGAGATGGAACCTCAGTCTAAAAAGGGGATTGGGGCGCCCGGATGGCTCAGTGGGTGGAGCATGCAACTCTTGATCTCGGGGTTGTGAGTTCGAGTCCCACAGTGGATGTAGAGATGACTTAAAAATAAAATCTTAAAAAAAAAATAAAATGGGGGCATCTGGGTGGCTCAGTCAGTTAAGGGTGCAACTGTTGATTTTGGCTCAGGTCATGATCTCAGGGTGGTGAGATCAAGCCCTGCACTGGGTTCCACACTGGGCGTGGAGCCTGGATAAGACCTCTCTCCCTCTCCCTCTGGTCCTCTCCCGCGTGCTCTCTCTCTCAAAAAACATTTAATAAATAAATAAGTAAAAAGGTGACTATCTGCACTCCAGGTAAGAGGAATATTAACAGTGGCCATTTTGAAATCTATCCAGTAGGGCTCTGGTATTAAATAGTGTCAAAATCTGTGAGGTGCAATTTCCTCCTTTACTCAGAGCCAAGACAATCCAAGGAAGGCTGAGGCCAAGCGTATGGTGTATTTTGAGGTGAGGGGATCAGTGGTATCTACAGGAGCAAAGAACATCATGGGAAACACTGTTGCTATGAGATAGGAGTGCAGGTAGAGAGAAGAAGGGGTCTAGAAGTTTCCATTTACAGGACATATCTGTGCCAGAGGATTGGTATACATTATCTCATTTAATCTCAAGAATCCTGAGGTAGGGATTAATGTCTTCATTTTGTAGATGAAGAAAACTGAGCTCAAAACAATGAGGTTATTAGCCCAAGTTCATGCAGTTAATACGGGCTGGCGGGGCTGTTTTCCTCCTTTGGTCAGTCTCCCGCCACCGAGTCAAAGTAGCCACTTAAAACTGCTGCTCAGAAATCCCTTCAGAGGCTTCCCATTTGCTGTTAGGATCAGTTCCCCAAAGCTGCCCATCTGGCAGCCTCGGCTTCTGTCCCTAGCGTCTCTCAGCAAGTTCCAGCCACACGGCTGCACAAATGATTCCAGCACCTTCTAGCTTAGAGCTGTCACAAAATACCATTTTCTCTTCTGAACTACCCCTCTCACCTACCTAGCCAGTCATCTTGCAGGTTGCTTTTTTTTCTTTTCCATTTCCATAGAGATATCATGGACATATGACATTGTATTAGTCCAAGGTGTACAACATAAGGATTCGATATTTGTGTGTGACACCATCAGCACAGAAAGTCTAGTGAGCATCTGCCACCACCCAGAGTTACATGTTTTCTTTTCTTGTGATAAGAACTTTTAAGCTCTCCTCTCCTAGCTACTTTCAAATATACGATATGGTATTGTTAACTGTGGTCACCATGCTGTCCCTTATGTCCCCAGGACTTACGTATAACTGGAAGTTTGTACCTTTTGACCACCTTCAGCCAGGTGAAGCAGCCTTTCCCCCCTTCAGGCCATTTCTGTCTAACTAGGTCCCCCTCCAACACCTTCTCAGAGCACCCTGTGCTTCCACAACACATCACAACGATGCATTTCTAGTTATGTCTGTCATCATTTGGTTGGTGTCTGTCTCCCCTATCAGACTGTAAAGCCCGAGGTGGGAAGTGTTTGTCTGGTTTACCGATTTGGTTCTCAGCACCTGGCGTACGGCAGGTGTCCCCGATTGAACTTGACAACATTCAACAAACACTCACTGAGCAGCTACCCCGTGGTTGGCACAATCCTGGGTCCAGGGATTATTGCGTGCCTAACAGAGAGTTCTCTAGCCGGGGGCAGGTTTAGTGTGTGGAGACAATGAACAAGTAAAGGCATGCCAGATGATGATAAACCCCATGCGGAAAGATAAAGCAGGGTAAGGCAGCTCGGGGAAGCTGGGGCGAGGTACAGGGTGGCAGTGAGCAGCAGGGATAATAAACAATCACTGGTGACATTTGCGAGCAGCCATTTTCACTCACCTCCCAGATAAACCAATTTTTTCCAGTTCTCAGACTCCAGGATTTCATCGTGTGGGTAGTAGCTCTGGTCCATCATGAATAGAATCATAAGTGAGGCCATGCAGGAGAGAATGAATGTGTTGCCTTTGGTCAGAAGGGAGGTGGAGGCTAAAACACAGGAAGCATAGCGGCAGGGTAGACCCCTGTACGTGAGCTGAGCGTCTGCTGGAGAAAGAAGAGCCAGGCATTAGCTGCTTCCCACGGCTCTAACGCTATCTCACCCAAAGCAAGCCCCTCTCGTTGGGTCTTCCCTTTCCCACGTTCCAAATCCCCCTCCTTGCAGGGCAGTGGCAGGCTGTAAAGCATTTAGTCATTCACAGAGAGGACTTGGCACCAGATCCCCATGGGGAAGCAGGCTGCCAGGACCAGGCAGGGACCCCGGCCCCGAGGACGGCTCTGTAGAAGGGTCTCCTGAGGTCGTCTGGTCTGCATCTGCCCTCCCTTGCATTGGGAACTTGGGCAAGGCAACTGCCCTCAACAGAGCTCCGTTTCTCCATCTGTTGTGGAAAACTGGAGGATGACCTCTGGTTCTAGATTCTGTGAGTCTCTGTGCACCCTCTAAAGGTCACACAATAAGAAAAAGGCACAGCTGCTCAGAGAACCCCGGGACCCTGCCCCCAACCAGGGCTCTGCTGGTGCAGCCTGCAGCCTTCAGTGGGCCTGGGATGCAGGAGAAGGAAGAGGGACTCCACAAAGGAGGGGGAGAGTCAGTCACTGCCCCCACTGGCTTCTGGCTCCCACCGGCTCCCGCTCCCTGGCTCCCGACGCTCAGCTACAAAGCTGGGGATCACTCACCAGTTGAATAGAAACACAGGCGGAAAGTAGCAGCTAACACATAGATGACAGCCAGGAACCCACTCAGAGGCCCATCCACGCCAAGGAGCAGGGCTGAGGCCAGGCCGAAGGTGGTGAAGATCGCAAAGTCGTTCAGCTCCACTCCTGCTCCGGAAGGCCAAGGTTAGAACTTACACTCATTTGTCTCGCACCTTAGTCCACTCTGGTGGGGGAGCTGCAGTGGTGCCAAGCAGGGTCTGAGGTCCCAGCGAGCCACAGCTGCTCCCCCGGCGGATCAAAGACAGGGGCTCCTCCTGGCTCTGCCTCATGCTGACCCTGCGGCCTTAGACAAGTCTTCCCCTCTCGGGTCTTACTTTCCCACCCTTTAGCTTCCAGGACTGGGACTAAGACTGGATGCAAATTGACAAGCTAGGGAACCCTTTTTTCAAGCACAATCTTACACGAAAACAGTTCCTTGTATTTTGAACCAGCGGCTCGGCCACCACCACCTCAGCCACCACCCCACTCCCGATCCCTGGATTGGCCCCAATGGGGAGGCCAGGGCAAGGATGGCTGAAGCTAACAAGTGAGCCAGCGGAGGGCTAGCTCTAGACCGTGGGGCTCCCGGACGGCTCTAGGGCTGCTTCTGCCATCCTTGGAGGGTTGTGAACAGGAGTGGTGACCGATGGAGGCCTGTTGGATGTTAGAGGGGGGAGGGGGGATCTGAGATGGGGGCTCCTGGGGTCAGGGATCAGGGGTCTGAGGCCTGGACTCACCTGACTTGGAGCAGAGGCTGAGGTGTCTGGTTATTGCCCCAACTGCCATGTCTAACAGGAAGCTGATCAGAAGCATCCAGGAGGCACAGTGGCTTCTCCTAAAGTGTATGGCAGCGGGCCCAAATAGGACGGCTCCTTCATGGCCTCCACCGGCCAACCACTCCACATACCCCCAGTACACCAACACACTTCCTACACTTGCACACTGGCACACACCCCTGCCCTGCATGTCCCCACACTCATGTTCTTTCTGAAATACACTGCTTTATACACCACACACACACACACACACACACACACACACACACACACCCCTGCCATACTCTCAACCCACAGTCTTAAAGGGGTGCCTGGAGTGCCGTAGATAATCAGTAATGTCCCTTCCAGCGCTAAGTCCCAGGCATATCTGAGGGCACAGGGGTCCTCTGTTTTAGCCCAGCCTTTGCAACCATCTCACTGTGGATTCTCAGAGAAATCCCTCCCTGCATCTCTAGGCCTCTCTTCCTCCATCTGTAAAATGAGGGGTTTGTGCCAAATGACTTAATAGATATAGGCCTATCTAGATGATCTATTTCTCCTAGTGCAAGTTTTGGTAACTTATGACTTACAGAATTGGTCCATTTCATTTAGGCTATCAGATTTATAGAGTTGTTCATAATATTCCTTTCTTATACTTTTAATGTCCATGGGATCAGTAGTGATGGCTCCTCTTTCATTTCTGATATTGGTATTTTGTGTCTTCTCTTCTTTTTTTTACTTTTCTTGGTTAGCCCGACTAGAGGCTTGTCAGTTTAATTGGTCTTTCCGAAGAATCAGCTTTTGGTTTCATTGGTTTTCTCTACTGATTTTTTATTTTCAATTTCATTGATGGCTGCTCTCATTTTTATTATTTCTTCTCTTCTGCTTACTTTGGATTTAATTTGCATTTCCCCTCCTAGTTTGCTAAGGTAGAAATCTTACATTATTGATTTTATATCTCCCTTCTTTTCAGTTTTTCTAAGACTTTTTTTTTTTGGAGAGATTTTAGGTTTACAACAAAATTGAAAGGAAGTTACAGAAATTTCCCATATACCCCCTGCCCCCACATATGCATAGCCTCCCACATTGGCAACATCACTCACCAGAACAGTACATTTAGATTCTTCGTACATACAAAGGATGAAACTCCACTGACACATCATAGTCACCCGAAGTCCGTAGATTACCTTAGGGTTCACTCTTGGTGTTGTATATTCTATAGTTTTGAACAAATGTGTGATGACATGTATCCATCATTATAGTATCATGCAGAGCATTTCCACTGTCCTAAAAATCCTCTATGCTCTACCTATTCATTTCCCCCCACCCGCCCCTGTCAACCACTGGTCTTTTTATTGTCTTCAGAGTTTTGCCTTTCCAGCGTCTCATATCATATTACTGTAATCATACAGTATGTAGCATTTTCAGATTGGCTTCTTTCACTTAGTAATATGCGCTAAAGATTCCTCCATGTCTTCTCATGGCTTGATAGCTCTTTTTTTTTTTTTTAGCACTAAGTAACACTGTTTGGAAATACCACAGTTTATTCATCTGTTCACTTACTAGAAGATATCTTGGTTGCTTGCAAGCTTTGGCAATTATAAATAAAACATCATAAACATCCAATTGCAGGTTTTTGTGTGGACATAGCTTTTAACTCATTTGGATAAATAGCAAACAGTGTGATTGCTGGATCATATGGTAAGAGTATGTTTAGTTTTGTAATGAACAGCCAAATTGTCTTCCAAAGTGGCTGCACCATGTTGTATTCCCACTGTTGCTCCGCACCCTCGCCAGCATTTGGTGTTATCAGTATTCTGGACAACTGGTTTGGCTGATCAGTGTGTAGTGGTATCTCATTGTTATTTTAATTTGCATCTCCCTGATAACATATGGTGTGGAGCATCTCTTCACATGCTTATTTGCCATCTGTAGATCTTCTTTGGTGAGTGTCCGTTAAGGTCCTTGGCCCATTTTTTAATTGTTTGTTTTCTTACTGATGAGTTTTTATGCTTTGTCTATTTTATAGTACCTTATCAGATGTACCTTTTGCAAATACTTTTTCCCAGCTTACAGCTTGTCTTCTAATTCTCCTGACGTTGTCTTTCACAGAGCAGTTTTCTTTTCCAGTATATGCATTCAATGCTATACATTTCCCTCTAACTACTGCTTTTACCGCATCTCACAAATTTTGATAAGTTGTACTTTCATTTTCTTTTGGTTCAAAATACTTTTCTTCTTTAATTCATGTATTATTTAGAATTGTGTTGTTTAACCTCCACATATTTGGGGATTTTCTAGTTATCTTTCTGTTACTGATTTCTACTTTAATTCCATGTGGTCTAAGGGCATACTTCATATGATTTCTATTCTTTTAAATTTAAATTCAGTCTTATAGCCTGAATGAGCAAAGAGAAGAATGTGTATTCTGCTGTTACTGGATAAAATATTCTATAAACGTCAATTAGATCCAGTTGATTGATGGTGCAGTTCAGTTCAACTATCTCCTTCCTGATTTTCTGCCAATCGGATCTGTCAATTTCTGATAGAGGGGTGTTGAAATATCCAACTATGATAGTGGATTTATCAAGTTCTCCTTGCGGTTCTATCCATTTTCATCTCACATATTCTGATGCTCTAAATGATTTCTAAGATCTCTTGCAGACCCTACATTTGAGGATTCTGCATTGCAGTCCAACACATGCTCCCAGACTGCTCTGAAAGCAGCCACCGCAGTCTCAGGCAAGGCTGCCCCAGCCTGCCATTCCTGAGTCTACACCCTGGTTGCAGTGTTTGGATGGCCAAGCAGAAGCAGAGAGCCTGACCCCAGACTTCAGCTGTCTCTAAACCACCTCAGCACTACCTTCCTTTAGATCCATACCTATGTGTCTACAGGGAACTGGGTTCACCATTGTGCCATAAAAATTACACTCCCAGAAGATTAGACTGAACTAAGAAGATATTTTCTGTTGCAGGTGTGATCTACCGTATAAGACTCCACAAATCCAGACTTAGAGAATCATAAAATTTTCAAACTGGAAGGGAACTCAAACATCATCAGGTAAGATTATCTTAAATTATGGATGAGAAACTGATCCAGAGAAGTCACATGCTGATGGTTATAGAGAATAAAACAGTTAGGAGGAGGATACCTGCATTATAAAGGATTTCTCTTTAAAGAATTGATTTGCCAAGGCATCGAAATATGATTCAATTATAGAAATATAATTTGCTTACAAAATATAATTTGCTTTGCTTTTTAGGGGCCCATATACATATCTCAGATTTTCCACAATAGTGCTAATTGTAAATATTCCCCACATCATATGTTCTAATTTAAGAATAAAAAATTTTAGGGGTGCCTGGGTGGCTCGGTCGTTAAGCTTCTGCCTTCGGCTCAGGTCATGATCCCAG